AAAAAAAAAAGACAAGGTTTCTTTGATCAATGAATCAAGTGAAAGCTTCTATAGAAAGATGGAGAAAAATGCCATAGTGTGTGCGTGGGTTTGTGTTTGTTTGTGTTTCGAAAGGGCGTAATGGGCTGAGGTCCAAAGGTGTTTTAAATACAATTGTGGCCAAATATATAAAATAAAATAAAAATAAAAATAAAAAACAGACAGCTGAGTTAATTAGGCATTCACGTGACTTGAAGACAAACAAACTTTTTTCTGTAAAAAACAAACAAAAAAAGGGAGGAGGAGAATGCAACCACACGACTATCTTTGACAGAATCCTATCTCTTTAAAGCTTTTCATTCTCTACATTTTCGCCTCATAAATTTTTTTTATTCTTTTTAATTAGTACTTTCAAATGCATGATATTTGTATTCGATATATGTTGTTTTAGCCACACATTGGATTAAGTGAACGTCCTTCACTAGTAACTTCCGTTTTGATGGTCGATCGACTTATTAATCATTCAAGTACGTTCAAATTAATGATATTGTTTTTGGATAAATTATGTACATTATTCATATATGTCAAACTTATAACAAAAACACGTTGGTGTGTCGAATTCCGACACCTCAACCGAATCGAAAATTTTCTCTGTGTTGAATATGATTGAATCGAACCGCATCGAATTGCAATGTTCGACTCGAATTTTCAGTTTTCCAATTCGTCCGGGTTAGGTTCATGCGAAATTGCTCCAAAATGAAACTAAAAATTGAAACAGAAACAAAAAACAGAAAACGAACTAGTAAAGGAAATTAATCAAACAACGTAGCAGGGCTGAAATTGTCCCACACAAAAATAACTGAATCAACGAATCCCATCGAATTGCACGGTTCGACTCTGTTTTGCCTAACCCTACATATCATACTTCCTAGATAATATGACCAAGTACCATAATAAGGCGAGCGGGTGCAATTTACAGTCTTTCGTGCTAATTATTCGAAAATCTCAAATCTATCACAATAAGGATAAAAAAAAGTGCGTTGCAATTTATGAGCTCGATCGAGAAATGTAAAATGGCTAAATTTCAAGACTATATTTTTCAATATTCGAATCCACAACATATTATAGTATTGCCAAAAGGGGGCATTAAATATATGCAGGCAAAAGACAACTCTCGACGCCCCCCTTTCGCCCCCACAGCCATACCAGAAAAAAATTGTCCTAAAACTTCTAATTGATTGGTTTTCATGTCGGATGAATCTGAATATCGATGGTATCAATAACTTATAAACCCAATAATCTATATCTATATATCTATATAGAAATGCGCTCAAATGAGAATGAATCATAGTGAAAGAAATAAGAATAAATTTGTACCACTAGATCTATCATATCAATGATCATGATTAAGCCAAATTTTACTAAATAATGGTCAAACATTGAGTCAAATATATGTATTTGACCACTCATTAAGGGTATATGTGTCATTAGGCACAATACCATGGACCCACCTATATTACACTCACCCAAACTCACGTGTGACGTCACTCCCACACCCCACCTACCCACTTGTCACCCATCTCTCACACACTTTCACACCTACCGTCTCTCACACACTGCATACACACTTCACACACACTCTCTCTCAATATACACATACAATATTTCGTCGTAGAACACCACCGATCAGCCGTCGCCTGCCATCAGCCGTTGCGCTTCCGCCTACCGTAGACTAAGAAGGCCGCCGGCAACCAGTTCCTCCCATCCATGGCAGCTCAGCCGCACGCAGCTTCGGTTCCGTCGAGATGCCACCGCCTCAACCAGCTAAAGCTCGCCGCCTGGCGCCGCGCCTCCGCCGACCGTAGCCTGAGAAGGCCGCCGACAACTGATTCCTCCGCTTTAGGGTAGATCTGCCGCATGCAGCTGCGATTCCGACGAGATGCCATATTGCCATAGCCTCAACCAGCGAAAGCCTTCCGCTTGTCGTCGCGCCTCTGCCGACCGAGCCTGAGAAGGTCGTCGTCCAGCAGTACCTCCCTTCCAGTGCAGCTCTGTCGGACGCCCCTGCTACTCCGACGAGATGCCACTGCCTCAACCCCGACAACCACCACTCTGCCGCCATCGAACGAGACATCCGCCAGTCCATCGCCTTGCTCAGCGGCCGCGCATCGGCGACTCCGCACACGCAGCTGAACTCGGCGTCGGCTGGCGATTTTCATCGCTTAGATCGAAGTGTCTCTGGTTCGAGATTATCTATCCAGCCAAATGATGTAGCCGACTTTACTGCTGATGATGCTCGCCGGTGGCATTATGGTGAAGGTGTGGTTGTGAAGATGTGTGACTAGGGGTGGCGGGGGTACAGATTGGGTTTAGAGGCATGTTAGTGAAAATTAGATAACTTGTAGGGACCATTATGTAATTTTAAGAATTATAGTTATAGTTTTGATTAATTCATGTGTTAAATACAATTTATAAAAAAACATAATAAATGTAGAAAAAAAATAATTGTACAATATGTGCATGGAACAAATATGAGTGTAAAAGATATATTTAACAAAAAATAATAATTTTTTATGGTTCGATCAGTTTGTTTTATTTTTATTTTAAATAAAGTGACATCGACATTGTTCAATTTAACAGTCATTAATGTGTAATCCATTTAATAATATTGTGCACTGATTTAGTCGCTAATGTGCACTGATTAAGTCGCTATTGAAATTGAACGTCATTTTGGGTTTATCGGGTCGGTTAACCAAGTTACTCTAAATATTCAAAATAATTTTATTTTTACTTTATAAAAAAATTTATGTAGTATTTTAATAAATTTTATAATATTTTTATATCAATTTTATAAAAAGGCATAATATGTTAAAAACTATAATCGATAAAGAGCATATCCATAGTCACTAATGTACATTTGGTCTAACATTAGTGTGCAGTCAAATAACCGAGTAGTTTTTATGTGCATTTTAATTTTAGAGAGCGTGAGAGAGAGAGAGAAGAGCGTAGAGGGCGTGAATCGTGTGATGACAAACTGTAATAGATGCAGATTGTGGGTGGGTCCTACTAAGATGGATGTTGAGATATTACTACATTACCCTTAATGAGTGTAAAAAATAGTAGTTTTATTAGTCATTGGATCTTATAATCTAATGGCTAGCATTTATTCTTATTTCTTTCATTGAGCATCATTCTCACAGGAGTGCGACATTATCTATATATAGAGACAACCTATTTACCAAAAATAGTAACAAAAAAAGTCAATCATCATTTATTGTATTCTATTTTTTGATGTTTTTATTTTTTTAAAATTATTCCTAAAAAATGAATCAGCTATATATGCACCCTAAATTAATGAGTTTTGTAAATTTAATTTAAATAAATTTTGAATTAGGAAAAATACTATCACATATATCTTTTACTAATTGCAACATATTAAGTGTTTATTAAGAAAATAGATTGCGTAGAAGTCGGGTTAAATTATGTAAAATTTGGCATGAAAATTTTGTAAAAGTGAAAATTCTCTCATTTTTATTAAAAAATATGTTTACCATAAAATCGGGAATTTTGAATTAGGCAAAATACTATAACATGTATGCTTACCTAGTTGCAACATATCATGTTTATTAAAAAAAATCGGATTGCATAGAAATCGGACCCAATTTCAAATTGAAAATTAGAATTTAAAATCCCCTATCATTTGGCTATTACTTTCTTTAGTTCTGATTTTTTAAACATAAAACAAATTCCGATAATATTAATTTGTAATTCAAAATGAAATCAGATTGGAACATCCTAATTCAAAATAAAATCGAATTGGAACATCCTAAAAATTTGGGTTTTGTTTAATCCCTAGAATACAAATTTAAAATTGAATGCACACACTTACAAAATATATAATGATTGCATACACTTATAAATATCATATATATCCTGCTAAATAATAATTGATTTATTTCATTCTATCTCGAATCCTGATATTATTTGTGGTAATGACAATATACCAAAAGACCAAACAAATAATGTTGCGTACAAGGATGTGTTTAATAATATATAAGTTACATTTTGTTTATTTCAATACATGCGTTTTATGTTCTTCCAATCATTCAATCATCCAAATTTAAATGTTTACCATAATAAAACTAACCCGTGCATCATACGGGTACCGCACTAGTTAAAATTAAACTCTTGAAAAGTATCAAATCCCAACCAAAAAGATTCAACGGGAAAAAAATTTCCCTAAAAAGTTCATATGGACATTTCCAATTTTAAGTGTTTACATAATAACCAACTGGTTAAATCATATCACCAACTACTAACTAGAACTAGAAACCACAAGCCCGGGTAAAAATACTCAGTGTTCACCCTCTAGAGCCATCAAGGCTAAGTCAAAGCTAGGAAAGAAGAGCCAGAAGAATACGACAATTCTTCTAACAAATCCACAACAAAAGGTCTGGTTCCCAAAGCCTGTGAAATTTCAGCTGCCACCTTCTAGGAATCCATAAAACAAATCACCTTCTTCCATCATTCCTTCACTGCAATATCCAACATCTAGCTCACAGCTTGAATAGAGGCTGTGAATTCATTGTTTGATTTGTCCCAAGTGTTGTGCCACAAATTCAAAATCTCTTCCCCGTTAGTTGCTACTCCTCCAGCTCCTACAGTTCCCATTTCAAAGATCAAAGCACTGATATGTAAAGAGACATACCCTACTTCATTGGAAAATTTCTCTTCAATGGTCTTTGTATCAACTGGATGAATTTTGGATATCATGTGCTGGCTTTTTACTGCATCTGCACACTCTAGCCAATCTGCTCTTGTCAGCTTAACAACCTCCAATGCTTCAACTTTGATATGATTGAATTGCATATTATTCCTAGCTTTCCATATTATCCAAATTAGACACACAGATAATGTAATTCTATCCTGCATAAGATGAAACCTGTTGCTAGAACATATTTCTTCCCACCAGGT